AATTGATTTAACATATTTAAGATTTAAGGATTTTTTAAGTAAATCCTATTTGCAGCCAAATATCTCTTCAAACTTTTTAAGGAAAATAAAAATTTCAATCACCACCGGCTTAAAATTTCTGTACTTTATAACTTGATAATTAATTTCAAGTTTGGAAAATTTGAACGTTGAAGGTGGGCCCACTCAATCCGTTTTAAAACTTCCTTTCTTGCCCTCTAAAGCTTGAAAAAGCTTGCTCTTCTCCGACTATCCGTTACCCCCTCTCTCTCTCTCCCTCGACTGAAATCCCGGATGGAATCAGCTGCTTTGCTTAGCCCTTCTTCCGACGAAAGCATATGGATCAGTCTTCGTGATCGCATAGACTGTATTCTAGATAATCGGGAGCCGAATCAATCCACTGTAAGACGTTCGATTGTGTTCTCCGCCTCCAACCTGAAAGCATTATCGATCTTAGCCAACTAATTTTTTTTTTTTTTAATTTTATCTTTCTGGTTATAATAAGTGTGATGTTGAATCAAAACTTGGGAGACAGTTTAAGGAAGATTCTCTTCTCTTGATCAAAGGATTGGATTCTGTTTCTTCCTCTGTTCTCCAGCTAACAGATGCTTTATGGGCTGCCCAACAGGTAAATTTTTTACAAATTAGGCATTTCCTTTCATATATTTCTCGAAAAAAAATGTTTTTTTTTTCTTAATCTTTTGGGGGGTTATTGTTTTTTTTTTCTTTTCTATACTGTTCGGTTTTAATCTTAGTTTGGCTTGGGTTTTAATTGCCCTTATTTTTTTGTTCATCCCTTGATGAAGGTGGAAAATGTAAAAGAGTTTTCGAGGGAAACAGGAAAAGAATTCAGTTTTAGTGGCTGTATTAGTTAAACTGAAATGTTCATTTCGAAGCTAGATTTTTTTGTGCAATCGAGCTGAGCTTGAAGGAGCTCAATGCTATTTGGATTGGCTCATTAAGAATGTTGTTTGGATTGGCTCATTATGCAAATGAGTCAAAATATTATTTGTGTTGGACTTCTTAACTTATCAAACCAAACATCACATCCATATATGTATGTATGTGTGTGTGCGCGCACTTGCGTTTCTTAACTTATCAAACCAAACATCACATCCATATACATGTATGTGTGTGTGCGCGCACTTGCGTGTGTCTGTGCCAATATTCATTTTCATGAATATATGACATAATAACTAGGTTTTAGATTTGTTTTAATTTTTAGATTCTTACAGTAGGAAAATTGCTTCTTTTAAGTGTTTAGTTCACTAGTAATGCTGGAAATTAAAACTAACTTGTCCTGATGTATCCTCACTTCAAATTGTTAACAGGGACTCAATGATCTAGCAAAGCCATCTCTTCGAAAGTCACTGAAAAGAGAGAGCCAAAGAACAAGCGATGAGGAAGACGAACACAGAAAAGCAAAGAAACGCTGTGGTCCTCATCTTGTCGAGGCTGCGGAGGATTCGAAGGAAGAAGCCATTTCTGCTGATCACAAGGGCGATCTTGAAGAAAAGCAGAATTCAATTGATGTTACAGAAAGTGTGAATCTAAATAAAGCCAAAAATGTCTGCTTTATCAACTTCTAATTGTAAAAGATGTAGATTTTAAAAAATAGTTCCCATTGTTCATATGTCTTAGTTTTTGCAAATTGCAGCTTGCAGTGGCTGTGGTGTCTAAAGCTGCTTCGCTAGCAAAGGAGCTGAAAATCATAAGATCTGAGTTGCACTCCATGCAAGAAAGATGTAGTCTGCTTGAAGAAGAGAACAGAAGGTTCCGTGATAATTTTGAGAAAGGATCAATGCCAGATGAAGATGATATGGTAAACTTTCAAGTATTATTATTATTTACTTTTGCTTTTCTCTTGTTTGAAACATGCCTTTCATGTTCTTATGCTTGTTTGTTATAATAAAGCTTAAAAATCCCTTTTTTATCTGGTAAAGAGTTTTGAGTGTGATATTTTGTTTCATAAACAGTGGTTTTAGAGAGCTGGATATTGAAAAAGGATGATTAATAAGAATAGATGAAACGAGAACGATGATGCTGAAAATGAAGTGATGCTACAATATATGGCTATTTTATCAGTAAATATAGTGAACTGCTACTACAAAGAACACTTTAAATGATACATTTAGATGGCCATAATAATACCAGATAGGAAGATTTACATACATGCCAGTATACCTCTCAATTCCTATGTATTTACATTTGTAACACCTAGACTTAAATTTTTGCATACATGCCACATTACTTGGGCATGAAAATGGTGGTATTTTTATGAAATATGGAAGATGTTGGTGTTATAATAAATTTAATGTAATGTTTTTGTGTAAATATGTATGTAAATCATCATAAGGTTCTCAATTGAAGGCCCAACACAGAGTGTGTGTCACGTCATGTCATTATCATTTTGTTATAACATATTTTAATTTAATATAAACATATGATTGAGTTGATAATTTGTTTTCAGGTGAGAGTGGAGCTAGAGGCACATTTGGCTGAGAAGTCCAGATTGGCAAAAGAGAATGGAAACCTTGTCAGGGAGAACCGATTCCTTCACGAACTTGTTGAGTACTATCAGCTGATATTTGAAAACTCGACAACACCTTTGTACGAGGAAGAGATTGGCGGAGCGCCGCTAGAGGTCTCGTCCACAGAACAAAAAGCAGTCGGTGAATCAGATGATGTTGAAAACATTAATGCTGATGGTGAACATCCAGGCTCTTCAAATATCACAATAAATTCCTCCTCTTCTGTTGAGCTAAGCAAAGAAGTAGAAGAAGAAGGAGAGAACCGGGCAACAGCAGCTTAGCTAGCTTTAACACATGTTATGTGCCCCACTATTCTTGCTTTGTTTCCATGAATGATTTGAAAAATTCTACTATGTTATGTGCTCTATTATTCTTGACCAAAAGTTTGTTGAACCATTTTGTTTGGTGATTGCTTAAGGCCTTGCTTAGCCTTTTTTTGCTTGGCCAATAAAATGTGCTTTTATCTTTCAAGATTAGATCAACTTTTGGCTTGAATCATAGACGATTAGCCTAGTAATGAGGCAAATCCGACTAAAATCGAACTTTGATTGAGCAAAGTGAAGATATGATTAATATATACGATAAAATTTACATCAACAAATTTTATCAGTTGACACGAATCATCGAATATTTTTTTAACAAGAAATCTTGAAACTCAAATTAAAAAACATCCAAAACTCTGATTTCTACAAGTCTATAGTCAAACTGACCGGCTCAACGAGATAGACTCAATGACACCAAAATTCGCCCTATCTGAGTCAAATTAAGCCCGAAACAAGACCTTAAATCACTTTTATAAGTTTTGGGTGGCTAAGTGAAATGTCAAATAGATTTCAGATCTGTCAAATCAAACGAGCTTAAGATGACTTAATTCCAACATTGTTAAATTACTCAAATATCAACAAAATGTTTTGTGATCGAGGAAACCTCTCGGACTATATAAATAGAACCCCACCCCTTCATGAATATGGAGGATGAGCTTGACCTAGAGCTTGAGTTGGACCGAGAGGAGTCGAATTCCAGTGTGATTATGGAACGAAAACGATTGATCACTGTTGTGAAAGAAGACGACAATAAAGTGAAAAATGGAACGAGAAAAATTGCACGCAGAAAAACACCAGAGCGACACATAAATTTACGTGGTTCGTTAAATTTGTCTACATCCACAGAGCTGCAGAATATTTTATTTCTTCGAGGATTACACCGTAGAGCACCTCGAAGTTTATCTCTCTCTCTCATGCTTTGAAATCTCTATTTTCTTTTCTCCCTTCCTCTCTCTCACTCTCTTCCTCTCTTTCTCTCTTAGAGGATTTGACTTGTTCTTGCTTGGATTTTTGACTTGGCTTATGATAAGCCATAAGAAGCTATTTATAGAAACTAGGAGAGCGATGGGTCGGAGGTAGGTAAGCGGTCAGTGGGTGGGTGTGGTAGGTGAGCGGTAGGTGGGAATGTAGGTGAATGGTGGATTCTTAATTAAGAAGCTAATTACATTGTGGTGGACTGGGTCTCCACATTACCCAACAATTCTCTCACTTGAAGACTAGGAAACTGACTGCATCACTACTGACTACATCATCTACTAGCTGTGCCGACCTTTTCCTCAAATATGATATCCTCCACCTCTGCAACTAAAAGCCCTGTCTTCATGTCAGAAGACGCAGTTGAAGTTGAACACAGCTGAACACAACTTCAACTTCTCACGAGTAACACCCTCAATTGACATATCACCGTCAACGCAGCCTTGTACCACCAAGCTTTTTTCTAGGTTACTCCCGTATCTACTTACAACTCCCACTGCATAAGCAATATCCTGCCCCTGCTGAAAGCCATTTTCAATAAGTCCAGTCTTGTACCTCTTACTGTCACCAAGCGCAGTCTTCACCTGGTACACCAACTTGTTGTGCAATGCCTTCTTTCTTGGTAGAAGTTCTGTCAGGTCCCAAGTCTGATCCTTTGGTAGGAAATTCGCATCTTTCTTCTTAGTTAGCTCTCACTTGCTTGAATTCTCATCTTGCAAGATTTCTTCATAGATTAGTGGTTCTCCACCATTTATCTGTATAAGATCTGGTTTTCCTGCCTTTGGCGCTCTGCCACTTTTCAGGAAACTGACATTTTTCAGCTTTCCCATAATGCAACTCTGACTCATGTTTCCTCACCTGAGTAAACCTGTAGTTATATATAGTCTATTAGTTTTCTTACCCCAAACTAGTACTAATGTTCCTTTGGTAACCTTACAAGTGCTATCTGAGAACACCACCGAATGACCACCATCTGTTTGCTCTTGTTAGGGAGTGCAATATCAACGTCTCCCATCCTCACCACGTCTAGAGCTTTTCCATCAGCCAAATATACCTCAAAGTTACCTGCAACATAATTGTGCATTAACTCCCGACGAGAAGATGTATGGAAGGAAGCCCCTGAATCCAATATCCAGTCATCAACAAAACTGTGAACAACCAACAATAGTGCATCATGTATTTCTTCAGGTACAACATTAGTGTCATCATTCTCCTTCCTCTTAGAATTCTTGCAGTTCATTTTTATGTGGTTAGCATTGCCACAATACCAAACCTGATCAGACTTTGATTTTGATCTTCCTATGTTTGAGTTCCTGTCAAGTGATCTCCCTCTGAAATCAACATTCAGCGCTATCATGTGATCTCCCTCTGAAATCAACATTCAGCGCTGAACTTGAACATAAGGCCTCGCCAGAATCCTTCCTATGTACCTCCTCAGCCAAAATCAAATCATGAATATCATCATATTTCAATTTGGACTTTCCTGCAGAACTTCTAACTGTCATCCTCATGTCTTTCCAGCTATTTGACAATGATGCCAACAAAATTAGAGCACGTATCTCATCATCAAAATCAATTTCAACATACGATAATTAATTTGTGATTATTTAAAATCATTCAGGTGCTGAGCAGCAGAGACATCTTCCGTCATCTTCAAGTTGAATAACTTTTTCATCAAATGCACTTTGTTATTCGTCGATGACTTTTCATACATACTTGATAAAACTGCCATAAGATCTGCAGTAATCTTCTTCTTGATGACGTTGTGGGCAACCGATCTCGACAGGGTTAATCGAATAACCTCCAGAACCTGTCGATCCAACAAATTCCATTTTGCCTCGTCCATCTTTTTCGGTCGCTTTCCCAATAATGGAAGATGATGTTTCTTCCCATATATGTAATCTTCTATTTGCATTCTTCAGTAAGCAAAATTTGCGCCATTGAATTTCTCGATCCTCGATGTCATCACTTCGTCTCCACCCATCTTTCTTCCTTAGATTTGAAACAAAGCTGTGATACCAGTTGTTGTGAAAAATGTAACAAGAAAAATTGCATACAGAAAAACACTAATGCGACACACAAATTTACATGGTTCAATAAATTTGTCTACGTCCATGGAGCTGCAAAGGATTTTATTTCTTCGAGGAATTTCACCGTCGAGCGCCTCGACGTTTACAAGAAAATCTCTATTTTTTTCTCTCCATTCCTCTCTCTCTCTCTCTCTTCCTGTCTTTTTCTCTTAGAGAACTTGGCTTGGCCTTGCTTGGCTTTTTGGCTTGGCTTATGACAAACCATAAGAGACTATTTATAGAAATTAGGAGAGCGATAGGTGGGAGGTAGGTGAGCAGTAGGTGGGTGTGGTCGATGGGCGGTAGGTGAGAAGGTAGGTGAGCGGTATGTGAGATTCTTAATTAGGAAGTTAATTAAATTGTGATGGACCGAGTTTCCACATTACCTAGCAATCACAACTAGTCGATCATCATCGACCATTGTCAGCGACCTCTTGTTCATTGCAACGAAGCCCCTTGCAGAGTCATGTTATACGTTAGGGAGTAACAAAGCACCCTACAAAGCAGTATATTGTCTTGAATAAGGTGTAACAACTCACCCCGAATGAGGTGTAACAACGCATTCTGTATATAATGTAATGCCGCACTCCAAAGATGGTGCATACAATTGTCGTACTCAAACTATGATAACTTTTGTTGGACTTGCGATGTTCTCCTCGTATCTAATCTCCGCGGCTATGTGACCAATTACGACCTACGTGGTCCACAACTCACATTTATGACCTATATGACCCATAATAACTTCTTACAATTGTTGTACTCAAACAATGATAACTTTCGTTGGACTTTTGATGCTCTTCTCGTATCTCATCTCGCTGCTTATGTGATCAATTACGACCTAAGTGGTTCGCAACTCACAGTTATAACCTATATGACTAACTATGACATATGTGACACAGTTCTTGCAACTCCCAACTCTCTTTTATGTAGTCTACGGACGTTATTACATCTTACCACATTAGCCAATGTGACAACACTTGTCTCTGTGGCTTAAGAATGCTATTATGACTCATCAGTACAGCCTATGTGTCCCACAATTCATTCAACTCTCAACTATGGCCTCTACAGCTTTCAGATGTTATTGTAGCTCACCACTGAGGTCTATGTGATCAACAACGACCCACATGGCTAATAGTTTATGTAACTCCCAACATCGACATTTGTAGCCTACGAACATTATTACAACTCTTTGCTACGACCTATGTGACCAACTACAACCTATGTGGCCACAGCTTGTGTAGCTTTCAACTCTAGCCTCTATAACCTATGAACATTATTGTAGCTCCCATCTGTGACGCTCTTGAAGCTATCACTTACAAACTACATGGTCAACTAATATCATGACTAACTACGATCTTTACGATAATCTAGCGCTACAACCATCATCTAAAACATACCTTGCATACTACTATCGTTCGCCTCCATATCAATCAATTGTGGCCTTCGCGGCCCGTCACAACAGTTATTGCTAAATTATTATTGTACATCAATATTGTAATTTTATCTTATGTAATTTAAGAGGTGAGTGAGTCAATGTACTTATAATTCCTTAATGTATTACTTCTACTTGGCTAGACCCCGTGATTTCCAGAATTTTCCTTTTAAAAATAATAGCGTCTCCTCTCACTCAATTTTTTTGTTTGTGTGTTTCTTTAACCTCGTACTATACTGAGACGCTGATTTATTACTCTAACATTGCAAATCTTTTGACAGGCAACAATATATAAGAAAGATTTACTTGCATACCACCCAAAGCTTAAGTATTTACCTATCTAATGTCTAAACTTTAATTTTTATATTTATAATACTTATTAAGGCTGTAAAAAATTGGCAGATACACAAACACAACTCAAACTCAACTCGAAAAATCCGGGTTAGGGTTGACCTGAATATTTTTCGAGATTCAGGTTTGAGAATTCGATATGTAAAAATTTGAAGTCGGATTCGGGTTGAACCTAAAAATCCAAACATGAACCGAATAGATTAAAAAAATTAATTGTACTCTTAACTCTTACACGATTTGTTTGCCACATAAAAATTGAGAATTTTCTTTTTTTAATTCGCCTACTATTACTTGTTAAATGTTAAAAATATTATTTTTAACAAAAAATTGACCTGGGAGGTTAAACATGTCGAGTTTGAGTTAACTCTATATGGGT